AAATGATATTAAATGAATATTGTAATAAATATATAATAAATGTGTTAAAATGATTGTTCAATAAATTAATAAATAATAATAATAATTAAATAAATGAATACTATAATAAATATATAAATAATAAATTTTTTAATAATCAAAAGATTAGAAAATTTTACTGAAACTTATAATTTCGCAGAAAATTTTTAATATCTAGAAATAAAACACTCTCAAAATGCAAATAAGATTACTTGTTCATAATACGGTAAAAAAATATAAACGGATGAATAGATCCTCACGGATAGATAGTTTATTAATTGCATTGTCTTGCGAAAGTAAGATAGATAAATATCATTTTATAATATCTTTATTATTTACATAATCCAAGAGAAAATATGAATTAGTCAAAAGAAAAAAAAAATTATTAATGTAAATAAAAAATAATAAAAAATAAAAAATCTTTTATAATAATAATAATACATCTTTTTCGTTTTTGTAAAATTTCATTAAAAATTTCTCAATTTAAACAAATATATATTATGATATAATGAAATAATATTTTTTATATATATTTTATATATATTTATTATTTGCACATATTAAATAATTTATTATACCAATCTATGAGAATATAGATTGAAGAAAGAGATAATAAAAAAATAAATATTGCAAATTTATTCTTATTTAATTATTAATGTTCCAATAAAATTTAGATAGTGTTCTTAATTTTAATTTTTTGTGATACAATTCCTTTTTATAATTATTCAAAAAGTTAATTTTTCGAACAAGTAAATAATTTATATCTAAATTTATTGTACTAGGGATTCTATATAGAGGAAGAAACTATCCTATATAAGAAACTTGATAATCGAAGGAAAAATCTTTGCATGGTCCGAGATTCCATCTCGGGGACACGTGTCCCCCGTGAAGAAAGTCGTAAGCGTTTAGGTTTGTGTGGGATTTTTCTCATAATTTTAAGTTTCCCATGCGAGATGCAAGCAGGATACCTGCCGAATCTATGTTGTGGCCAAAAAGCATAATTCAACGTTGACAGTTGTTGTGGCCTAAATTCAAACAAGTGCTTTTAGCATAAGGAAACTTCCTAGAAAACAGAGTTGTCTTTAAGGTTTTTTGACCTGTGAAACTGAAAAAAAAAAGAAAAAAAAAAGAAAGATCAAAAAGATTTTCCCTCGTTAGTTTCTTTCTTTTTATCTTTTTCTTTCTTTCTTTCTGTCTTCGCAATCCTTTTTTAGATAAACGACAAATATGTATGGATAGTTTGGTCTTGGTTTTATTTCCATAAAATTAAAAGTCACGTCGCCTACCTGAGATTGTCACATTACGGTAGCGTAGTTTGAATTTCAAGATTCTAGAAATCTTTGTTGACTATCCTTGTTAAGAAGCCCGAACTGTAATATAAGAAACAGGAAATGAACTTATTACGAAAATTCTGTGAAATCTTGCAGCTATAATCATTAATTTGATGTTTGTTTTTTGAAATAAAAATAAAACTATTCAAATAAAAGAAAAAAATACGTTTATTAGATATAAATATTTGCAAATTTTTTTAAATCTTATTTTAAATTATTTTTAAATAATTTACTTATCAAATGTTGATAATTTTAAAAATAATAAAAAATAAAATATGATTATTTAAAATATAAAGTAAATATACATCTATATATTTAAGTTAAAGGAATATAGGAACTAAATCTAAACAAAAAGAAGATAAAAAGAAAAATGGAATTATTATATTTTTTGAGAAATAGTTATATTTTAGTAATAAAATCAAAAAATAATTATTATATATAGTATACTATAATATAGTGCTAAATAAAATAACGAATATTAAAATAATTTATTTAATAATAAATACATTATCATTCAAATAATAAAAATAAATAATAAATAATAAAAATTTTATCTGACAATATTTAAAATATCCTATAGATATGTATACGTGATTACGTGTTCGTGGTATAACAGCATGGTTCAAACTCAGCCGCTACGTGTATACCGCTTGACAACATAACTGACATAGTGGTTAGAGAGGAGAACCTAGCCTTAACCGTGAGTCGAGTCTATCATAAACCAGTATGCGGACACGTAGTATCTACGTACTTATGTTTATTGGAGAACCGTGCGTGCAATTGTGGCGAATTGTACAGGTGTTATAGATCAATGATATAGAAGTTGTACATTTTTCATTGTATCTATTTAATTTTACGTATTTGAAATTTATAAATTTATCCTATGTAATTTTCCTTTTTTTATAATGTCTTCCTCTTCTAGGTTTTTTTAATACTAAAGAATCATAAATTTCATATTTAAAAAATACATATAAATCAATTATCTTAATAAGGCAACCGATTTCTACCCAAATAGATTATCAATTATCTTCAATAAAAAACGAGGGCAAGTTCGCAGGGATCGTTGCGTCGTGTGAATGAAAAACTTGCACTGCGCACGCGCAATCGCATTTGCACGCGTTGCCGCAAAAAAGGAGAAAAATATATGAAAAATATCAAGCAACTGGTAGGAAAAGATTATACATACACGAGAAAGAGGATAGAAAAAAGAAAGAGGAACAGAGACGATACAATCAGGATAAAACGCGTCTCCGTTAAAAAGAGACGCAAACGCGATGAGGGTGGGAACCGGTACGAGGAGAAGGGCAAGGGGTATCTCGCACGCTTCAGCACACGTACGATGCTCCGTTACGCGCATGCGCTATCCCGCGAGCGGTTTCCATCTCCAACAGGCCACCGACGGGCCCCGCGCATTGCTAAAGCGACCAAATAATCTGGATGGGTTGTATACCATGCGAGGTGCGTTTAGTGGGAGAAGGAGGGCCTGCCGACCGAGCAATAAAGTGGGGATTAAATCTGCTCGCGGTGGGGATGAAGCTCGGGGCCCGGTCTAGCGAAGAGGCAACGGAGTCTCAGTCGTTCACCAGAGATCGGTCGTTCATGTATGCTACTCGATCTGCGGCCTCTATCCAGGATAACTGTAAATCCGTGACAAAGAAAGAGAGAGACAGTAAAGAAAGGAAGAGATAGAGTAAAAGACAGACCTTGGACTGACCGCGAACAGAGTAGCTAATCGATCTCTGAACTTCGCGAACTTCGTGTATGATCGTAAATAGTGACTATTGGAACAGTGATCCAAGAAAAACTTCGTTTTATTAATATTATTAATATTATTAACAATATCATCGCAGATTTTTTTTTTCTCTCGAAATGAATTTTAATAAGGAATGCTATGCCTAACTTGCATTCGGATCATTGACATTGGACGAACATTTGGGATTCTGTTTCGTTACCGAAAGTGATAAACGTTTGCCGCAATCGCAGTTTTTAAAACAGACAGTGATTGGCTGATTATTAACTTGAAAAAGACTCGAGAAGTGATTATTTGTGCGATTGATGGTTCTGAGGAATGCTATTGAAATCAGACGTGGGAATGGTGGCGTGAAACAACAAAGCAAAAGTCACGTTAGCACGCGTAAACGTACATCAGGATGCCAAAAATCTTCCTGATCAAAAATCGGCTGCATCAGCAGCAACTGAGGTTGCTGGAAGCGCAGCACCTTGGCAAAAGCCCGCCACCCTGTAGTGGTAAAGAAAGTCCTCTTGGCAGTGCCGAACCTCTCAGTCTTATTGTGAATAAACATCAATGTAAGTTTTTTTTTAATTAAATATCTCAACAACAAGGAGAATTTTCTAGATTATCATAAAAAGAATATACTATTATTTCAATCAAACATTCAAATTTTTTTTTTCAAGTCTTATTTTAATTGAGAAATTATTTTTAAAATACAATACAACATAGATCATAAATGATCCAGAATCATAGTTAGTATTATCCATCAGTTAATGTTTTCAAATGTAACATGGATCACAAATGATAATGTAAATTATTCAAAATGTTATCAATCTTTATTCTAAAAGATAATGTAGTATGGGTCAAGAATGATTCAGGATTGATTATTATTAATAATCAATCGACATTTTAAAATATATTTCGATGAACTATGGATCATGAATAACTGATTCAGAATCAATTTATTTAAGCATTAAATCAGATTTAATTTCACAATTTGTATAGTTTGAAAATTTCGTATAAATTAACAAATAATTTCAGAAATCAATATATGTAAATTGAAGAAATATTGTTTCGTGAAAAATTACAACAATTTTAAAAAAAATAACAATTTATAACAATTTTACCAGCCCGCGATAAGAAGATTCGCTGCAAAGATTGTAAAGCAGGTTTCGGCCGGTTCATTAAAATTCTCTGTTTCCTTCGACTTGGTAAGACTCCTTTCTTGCACTTGACTGTCCTAAGAAAGAAAAGAAAAAAAAATGCGCGCGCGAGAATATTTTAGGCCAGCCTGCAGGTGCAAACAAGAGTCGTGTGCACAGGTGCCGTTGCAATTTAGAAGTGCATTTGCAAATTTGATTTGTAACGCTGTCATTATCTTTTAGTATTTTATATAACATGTCATTGTTTTACGATCTATTACATTAACATCGGGAACTTTTTTTTTCAACTGTTTAATTTGATCACATAAGAAAAATTGAGAAAAAACGCGTTACGAAATTCAATCACAAAATTAATAATAATTTCGTATTTCTTTTCGAAAAGATAGCTAAAGAAAAAGAAGCATTAATTTGTAGGTTATGTAATAACTCATGATGTGACATTTGTCAATCAACGGATCATTTCTTTTTTAATCATTGGTCAACGGTATATAGTGCATAACGATATGTAAATAAGTTTTTCACTTATAACGTTATTTCTATGAAGAAATAAATTTTCTTATTATTATTTATTTATTTCATTTTTTATCATTTTTATGATTTCAATTAAATCATTTAAAACAAAACAGTTCGACGATATTATAACGTTTCATTTTTTCCTATCATTGAACGTCATGAAAATATAAATAACAAATAAGGAAACTATTCGATATTTTAAATTTCCAAATGATTTCAAAATGATTTTAGATTATGTATCTAGTAAATGTAATAATGTTATTTTAACATCATTTCTTCATTGAATGTATAATATGTATAATGGATGAAAGAAACAAAATTAGTCGGTATTTTGAATTTCCATGTTCAAAATCGGAGGCTGATTTTAGGTTATGTAATTCATTGAAAGACAGGTTAATTGAGTGTTTAGCCTGAGGCGCCTATTCGCAGGCATAACGCGCGATGGTAGTCTGACGCGATTCTTTTACAACGGTATAGTGAGTAGACAGAACGATGAAGTTGGTCCTAAACTGGTTTAGAAAAATGACTCGAACCGGTTCCTCGTTTTTCGTCGCCCCTTCCATTTTTTTTTTTCTTCTTTCTCTATTGCTACAGACACGGTCGATCGTTTCGAGAGCTCGATGTCGATGGCCTCGTATCGATTATCACATACCGCAGGTGCAAATTTACTTTCCCACAACGTTACTCATTAATCATCTCGTATTATCAATTAAGATGTACAAAACTCGAAAATTTACATTGATAAGTTTTTATTTTTGAAAAAATATCTTTTAATAATAATCGAAAAGAATTAGAATCTTTGAGTTTTATTTCGGCGAATGCACGCATATGATTCTTGATTATCGCTCAATAAACTGAATTGCTAAGCTGTTTCGATAAGTAGACAATTATCACCATCCATCACGCAGCTGTAAATTTGCAACCGTATCTTTGGTGAAATACTAATTTAATGGAATAATAAAGGCTAGACAGATAAGATTGGAATGAGATAAGCAGACGTTCGTTATTTTATTATGTGAAAATTTATTATGTTAATTTACTAGTGTTTAATCAGAATCTTCTCTATTTAGGATTTCTTTTTTTGTATTTAATTATCGGTCATTACCAACGTCAAGTATAGTATATGTGACGAATATATTTGAAATTCATTCACCATAGTTGAAATTCATGTCACAAACTATAGTTCCTGTATCCGATTATAGTCAACATTTACATAATTAGTATTAAATGCTCAATATCTATGTTGACTGATGTAATTGTTTAATTATATGAAAAAAATTATAATGTTTTTATTATTTTTCCGTTTTGCAATATTTCAATAGATATTTCAATAGATATTATTATATTAAGATAAAATCATGTTTCAAAAAAAAATTTTATTTAAAAAAATTTAATGAAATTCTATTATTAATATTAATTTTATTGATATTATGTACTACAAATTATTCGAAAACTTTCGAATTGCTGAAAATGAAATTATTACATATTTTTTTAAAAAATAAAATAATATAATATTTACTTCTCTTATAATTCAAAGCATTATGAAAATAGCAAGGGCTACGAAAGTCAAACCACATTTCAACTTTCTAGGTAAAAAGCATAACTAGAAAATAATTAGTGAAAGATGGATGGGGTATGAAATTATTCGCTTCATTAATAAGGGACTCTAAGGGACTTTTCCTTTAATGAATGAGTATTTGAAGATATATGTTTCAGCATAATGAAGAAATAAGAAAAAAAGAATATTTAAACTTGTCGCTTATATTATAATATATTACTATTTATATACTAATTAAAACTAATTAAAACAAAATATATATAGATATAGCAATTTACAATATAAAAGAATTATATATATTAAAGTATATGATATAAAGAATAAATCTATTTATTTCATAAAAAAATTCATTTTAAATTGAAATTTATTTTAAATAGATTATAAAAGAATCACGTAGATTAATTATCGATGATACAATGCAATTGTTTCACCTTCGTAGTTACATCGATGTCCCGTTAATATTACAAGATAAAGAATCCATTGAATATTAATAATTGAATAAAGTCTACGTACTTTGTATCTAGATTTATTACGTCTATTCATTAGATGAGATTCAATAATTTATCGAAGCGACAATCTTTGCTGATACATTGATTGTGTCCGCGTGACTGTGAAAGTATTCAATTCGTATTTAAATTTTTCTATATACACATTCATTATTTAGTAGCACACAATATCTTCGACGCGGCACTTCCACGTTCATATGTGGAGACATCGACGCCCGCATAAGCAAGACGCCGCGATACTTTTTATGCGTTTCAGCATTAGCATAATTTACCTGCATATTATACGCGAATAATGTGACATCGTGATTATTCTATTGTATATAATATGGTATATTCAACTATTTTTAAACTTTAAAACTTTGTATATATAATACATATATATATATATTATATTTGTATAATTATATATATTATTCAATCCTTATTAAAAAAATTATCATATGTTATATATGTCATAGATCTCGTACATATATCATTTTTTACAAATTTAAAATTTACTTCTTTTACAATTTAATATTTATTTAAAAAAAAAGATATGATTTTTCATATATAATTTTCGTGTAAAATAATTTACAATTAATATATTAATCGATTATTTCAAATATAAAAAAATAAAAAAGATTTTATAATTAAATTTAAACGAGAAATTCCAATTTTTGAAATTTCAATTTTCGAAAAATCTGGTTCTTTATTAATAGCTAAATATTCTTTTTTCAAAAAAGAATTTCATTTTCTAAAAATTCAATATTATATCTTATAATAATTATGGTAAAAAAAGGATTTTTATCAATATTTTAATAATATCAATATATCAAATTATCATTAATCTGAAATAACATTTAATAATATATAAAATGAATTTTATTCTATTGTACAAACGATTTCAAACAATTTCAAATAAAAAAATTCAAAAAAAATATATATTTATTCATTCAGAATAATTGTTTTTAGGCGCGTTTTACTCATTACGATTCAATTTGGTCACGCATGCGTTACGCGATATTGCGCAACCCTCGCGCCCGTTACAATAAGAATTTTCAAGTTTCGCACGGTTCTCGTACATATTGCGCAACACTTGAGAACGCTCACGATCGTCAATGTCTGTAATTCCACGACGGCCAAGGCGAGCCTCGTGTACCGATGTAGAGAATCCTGTGTCGGGTCGAGAACAGATTGAGAGAGGGGGGGACAGAAGGACGTAGCTGGTTCGCAGTCGTAAATAGAAAAGTGACCGAGAGGAACGAACATTCCACGAATCATAGAATTATTCTTATCGAGCATTTGTTACTTGTGCGAAGATTTATCGTCGACTACGGAAACTAGATGGACGATAAAGGAAATGGCGTTCGTGAAGACATACTTACATTCTCGCTTATGAATCATTGGAAGTAATCACTTCAAAATTAATAGAATGATTTTTAATGTACACATAAATAAATTATTTTATAAATTATATACTCTAATATATAATATTATATTTATTGATATGATAAAATATTTTTGTTGCACATTATTATTTATTATATTATTATTATAATTTAAATATAAGGTAATTAATATCAATCATATTGTTTATTTGTCTGAAATGTAAGTAATATCAGATGATTTATGAATGAGAGTAGAGTTTAAATTCAATAATTTTTTTTAAAAAATACTTCAATGTTTATTTATTGGAAGTTTAAGTGATTCATTCTTCTATGAAACAAATGTGTTAAAAAGTTATATTAACATCATATATCATATACTTTATCAGTTTGTTTTTATTAAGTTCTTAACTTAGTTTAAAAATTCTGTCTTGAATTAACACGTTAGAGATTATTATCATTTTATTTATT